GAGGAGGATTGGCAATAGATGTTAGCTCAGAGCCGGTCTTCCTCAGCAAAAAGAGGAGGATTAGCATGGATGTTAGCTCAGGGCTGAACTTCCTCACAAAAAAAAAAAATGCTCATAGCAGTATTATCCATAAAAGTCAAAAACTGAAAACCATCCCAGTGTCCACCGACTGATGGATGGATGAACAACGTGGTCTCCCCCTACAGAGGAAGACTATCCGGCAGTAAAAAGGAAGGAGCACGCTACAGCACTGACGGGCTGTTGCCGAGGGAAAGGAGCTGCACTCAAAAGATACACATCATACGGTTTCATCTGCACGAAATGGGCCAGGAAAGGCGAGCTACACAGACAGAAGGCAGACCAGGGCCGCCTGGGCTGGGGAGGGCAGGACTGCCGGGATCTCACAGGGACCACAGAAACGCTCCAAAACTGTACGGTGGTGAGAGTTGCACAGTTGCTCTGTAAACTGACTAAAAATCATTGAATTGTAAACTTAAGACAAGTGAATATTATGATATATAAATTACACCTCAATAAAGCTGCAAAAAACAAACACAGAAACGTATTACTCCTCCCCCTCAAAATTAAGCACCAAATTCTGAACAGAACTGACCCTAAGTGAGGCTGAAACAAGCCAATCCCTTTACTCCACAGAGGAGCCCTCAGGTGTGCAGAGCAGCACTGGTGGCCATGAGCACTCAGCCCCCAACCCAGTGACTGCAGTCACCCAGCCCCGCGGAGCTGGCGTGCAGAGGAAGGCTGGCGCCGCTGCCCCAGCAGGCCAGGGCCCCGGCCGCCGCGTGACGGAGGTGGAGGCGCGCTTTACCCGGCGGGCGCTCCTCCTTTCACCGCAGCCTCTGTGTCTGTTCTGCCCGTTGGGCTGCTGCATTAAATTTTTTTTAACTAGGAACAGTAACCAAATGGGCCACTTTCCTTTATTGCCCCAAGCCCCTCTTCCTAGAACGGCGGGGCGGCGGGGGCAGGCAGGCCATTCTGCTCCCGAGGCAGTCCCTCAACGTTTCCTTAGAGGCTGCTCTGTCGCTCCCTAAAATTCCAGGAAAACCGCGGACACAGCACCGGCAGCCGCTTCCGGTTATCCCCGGTCAGACACCTCTAGACCCCGCACACCTGCTACCGCCCCCCGCCCCCGGCACGTGGTGGGAGGCCCGCACCTGCCGTGTTGTAATGGACGCTCCACGTGCCCTGGGGCGCTGGCCGGTCGGGACACGGGATGATGAAGGAAACCACAAACACTACCAGGAGGCAGAGAAACAGCGAGAGGAAGAACGCCACTGCCCGGCAGCGGGAGAGGCGGGACCACGGCGGCCTGCTGGTCAGGACGTCTGCCTTCTTCGCTCGGTTCTCCAGATCCTCCTGCAGTTTCCTGTCTTCATTCTTCAGGGGGTGGATTTCGGCTTCTAAGTCCTTGCTGTCCGTCATCGTGTGCACATCCCCAAGTGGAACTCCGGTCACTGCGCCAACAAAACAAGAGACAGTCAACAAGCTGCGGTGACAGGCTCTGGGGCGCCGCTGTTTTCAGCCTCTTAGGAGCCTGGCTGCAGCCGTGACCTTGGACATCAGCCCAAGAAATAAAGCTAAATAAATGTTTAGGGTGTCACAGTCTCCGTGTAAGAAGGTCTTTAATTCAGAGAGGCACAGTGGCTGTGCAGAGCAAGCAGGTGAGAAGTATTTTCACCCTCACAGCCCGGGTCCCCTGCCTGCTGACTCTGGGGCAGCCGAGGGGACCGCCGGGCAGAGCTGGGGCCGGGCTGCTGCTGATACACCCACCAGCTAAACATTAACTAAGCCCGAGGCTCACGGTCAGGGCACCTGACCAGCCTTCCGCAGCCTGAACTACAGACGGAAAGGGTAGCCCAGGCAGGAATCGGGAGAAACACCCTTCTCACACGTGGACTCCCTAGAGGGTTCCAGAGCCCAAGGTAGAAGAAGCCTCTGCAGTCCCGGCCTCGCCCCTCACTCACTGGACCGTGCCCTGTGTCCTCATCCGTAAGAGGGAAACCATATCTACTTTAGAAGACTGTTTCAAGGATTAAACCAGCAAATGCATATAAAGCACTTATAACAGCGTCTAACACATATTAAGCACTCAGACGCGAGATTATTATTATTAATAACAAGATAAAATATGCTAGCAGTCACACGGAGGAGGAGGGGACCGCTGTGTACGTGAATAGTCTGCACACAACTCTGAGCCCTGCCTGCAGGGGCAAGAACACACTCCCCCCTGCCCTGCTCCCCTCCTGCCGGCGGCACTCTGGGTGGGTGTGGTGAGGGAGCCTGGAGCAGCCACCTTGGAAAATAAGATGGAAAACATTTCTGAAGACGATAAAGCCACAGCACAGGACGACGTGGGTCCCTGAGCGCTGGAAACCAGCACCATCAATCCTTGAGTTCTACACTCTTACATGAGAAAGAAACAAACTTCTGTCTTGGGTGAGGCAAGATATTTGTTAGTTTAGTCCTTTTTAAACAGCCAAACCAGTGTCCTAATAGAAAACATACTGAGAGAACGGAAGGGACCGTGTGGGTCTGAGTGAGTTGTAACCTTCCTCTATCCAAAAAGGAAGTCAATCGTTCATGATTCAAATGGGTGAAGGAGGATGCACCAGAGGCTAAATGGAGGCAAGAACCCCAAGAAACAGCTGAGTGCTGGAAGTGGCTCTCTCGAGGGATGGGTTAAGGAAGATGGAAAGAGACAAGAGACTGCTGTTTCTTGTATAAACTTTTTACTTTCTGACTTTAACTGTTTTTCTCTAATTATTTAATAAAGATAATTCATTTAAAAGCCTGTGTAGGCTGGCCCCGTGGCTTAGCGGTTAAGTGCGCGTGCTCCGCTGCTGGCGGCCCGGGTTCGGATCCTGGGCGCGCACCGACGCACCGCTTGTCCGGCCATGCTGAGGCTGCGTCCCACATACAGCAACTAGAAAGATGTGCAACTATGACGTACAACTATCTACTGGGGCTTTGGGGGGAAAAAATAATAAAAAAAAAAATAATAAAAGCCTGTGTATACACCCACTAGGGTAGCTTTAATAAAAAAAAAATGAAAAATGACAAGTGTAGGGGCATGTGGAGAAATCAGACCCTCACACACTGCTGGGGGGAGTGTAACACGGTGCAGCTGCTGCGCAAACAGTCCACCTGCTCCTCAGAAGGTTACACACGGAATCACTGCGTGATCCAGCTGTTCCTCTCCTGGGTGTACACCCGAGGGAGCCGACTACAGGGACTCACACAAAAACTGGTAAACAAACGTTTATAGCTTCACTATTCATAACAACCCAATGTCCATCAACAGAGGATGGATAAACAAAATGTGGTCCACCCACAAATGGAGTATTATTCAGCAATAAAAAGGAAGGAAGCCCTGACACACTACAACATGGAGGGACCCTGAAACTGTTCATGCTCAGTGAAACAACCTAGACACAAAAGGTGACATGTTGTATGACTCCATTTATATGAAACGCCCAGCACAGGCAAATCCACAGAGGCAGAAAGCAGACGAGTGGTTGCCTGGGGCTGGTGGGGGTGGGGTGGGGAGTGACTGATCACGGGCACAGGGTTTCCTTTGGGATGAGGAAAATGGTGGTGATGGTTGCAAACATCGTGAATGTACTAAATGGTACTAATTCACTAATGGTAAATTTTGTTATGTGTATTTTACCACAATTTAAAAAGAAAACAAATCTGTGTGCATTCTCCTTAGTGCCGACACATGAGTTTTAACAGCCTGGAAGTCAGAAAAGGTGCACCTGTCAAAGGTAGAGTTGGACACAGGAAAATCAAACAATGACTCGTGAGCAGGGCCTCCTTAAACCCACGCACCTGACATGGCGGGGGGTGGGGGAGCCTTGGGCCGTCTGGAAGACGTAACCAGGGAGCCAGCGACAGAACCCAGATCGGGCCTGCTGGACAGGACAGAACAGAGCCGCTCACCCAGGCCTAACCACCATGTCCCCAGTGAGGGGATGTTTCAAATATTTAAAACACATAAAGGAATTTTTGGCAAAGGAAAGAAAACACTGAGAAATCAGAATGCTAACACTCTTAATTTTAAAAGCTCTGAGTTCTCTTGCTTAAGAGCTTGAAAACATTGGGCCACACCCGCCCTCTTCTGTCAGAGCCGGAGCATCTACAGGAGACAGCAGGAAAGCACCCTAAGCCTGTCTGTCCAGAGATGAGGGGCACCCACTCTACATGGCACTATTCATGTCAAGCCCACAACCCTCGTGTCCCAGACCCACTTCTCGGCAGCAGCACCTGCCTAGAGCTGGTCAGCCACTAGCACACCTGGTGACCAGGGCTGGACAGGGCATCTGCTTTCATAAGCCCAGGCGGGTCTGGGGTTGTCAAGTCCTTGGTGAGATGCATCCCAGGCAGCCTCTGACTGCGTTGGGAAGGGGCAGCTGGGCCACGACTCTCAGCCTGGGTTCCACATTAGAACCCCCTGGGGACTTTCACACCCCAATAGATTCGGTCAGCTTCTTGGGGTAGGGGTCCCGGGCAGGAGCAGCTGTTAAAGCTCTCACGGCGGGGCTGGCCTGGTGGCGTAGTGGTTAAGTTTGGCACACTCTGCTTTGGTGGCCTGGGTTCAGGGGTTCAGATCCCAGGTGCGGACCTGCACCACTCGTCAGCCATGCTGTGGTGCTGACCCACATATAAAGTAGAGGAGGACTGGCACCGACGTTAGCTCAGGGCTAATCTTCCTCAAGCAAAAAAAGAGGAAGATTGGCAACAGATGTTAGCTCAGGGCCACTCTTCCTCAGCAAAAAAAAAAAAAGCTCTCCAGGGGACTCCAAGGAACAGCCAAGGGGGGAAGCGCTGGCCAAGAAGTCTGCCCTTCTCTTGTCCTGGTCGCCCCACTTTTGCCAGCAGCTGACTTCTGCCTCTAAACCCTGAGGTGGAGACTCCATTTCCCCACTCACTGCCAGCCTGGACGAAAGCAGCAGACGGAGGAAGAGCCTCTCCCTTCAACGGAGCTGCCTGAGGCTGCCTTCTGGGCATCCTCCCTGAATTCTCGGCCAGCTTAGCAAAGTACTGTAAATCCAAATGCAGACCCAACCTCGTAAGCCAAACCATGCCCTTTCCTGATCATTCTTTGAATCCCTGAGCTACGTGGCTCCCTAAAGCCAAAGGACAGTGCAGACAGTTATTACTGATGTTGTCTGGGTTTTTATTTTATTTTTATTTTTTCGCTGAGAAAGACCAGCTCTGAGCTAACATCTATTGCCAATCCTCCTCATTTTTTTTCCTCCAAAGCCCCAGTAGATAGTTGTATGTCATAGCTGCACATCCTTCTAGTTGCTGTATGTGGGATGCCACCTCAGCATGGCCGGAGAAGCGGTGCGTCAGTGCGCGCCCGTGATCCGAACCCGGGCCGCCAGCAGCGAAGCACGCGCACTTAACCGCTAAGCCACGGGGCCGGCCCTGGGTTTTTATTTTAAGTCAGCAGTAGACATACACAATACACCGGAACCGTGTAGAGGCATAAATCCTCTTGTGGCCCTCAGGCTCAGGAGGGGAAGCATGTTACTAGTTTCTTATGGCTCCTCCAGAAATATTCTGTGCATTGACAAGAATAAAGTGTGTTTTTTAAATGTGACTAGAATAGCCGAGTTATAAATCTGACCTCCAAAAATTAAAGGGAAAATAAGCTCAAAGTATTCTCTTATCTCCACCTCATGGTTTACCTTGCTAAATTAGACCAAATGGCACATCTTACGGCAGGAACAGAGGGAATACTGTCGGTTCCTCAATGACCTGGCTTTGATCTGGAGAGCCCAGCTGAAAGAACAAACATTTCCCCCATGCTGCCGCCCATCTAGGTGATGAGACTTGGAAGCAGAAAGGGAGAAGCCTCTCCAAATGGTCATTAGTCACACAGTCGGGAAGGCAAGCGATCTGCCTGGTCAGCCTCCACGTGCAGGGGGGACGCAGTAAGAAACATCTCAGGCGTGGGGAAGACAAACACAAGGGCATCAGGAGAAAGCTCCCATTCTCAGAGACAGCTCTTCTGAACCAGGCTGGGCCAGGCGGGAGGGCTCAGGACCTCAGGCCCAAGACAGCCCTGTGGAGACCACCACACCCTGTGGGCTGACCTGGGCCAGGGTGGCACACTGTACTAAACATTTTTGTGGGAACCAGCATTTCAACGGGCAGACACTGGTTTTTAAAACTGAACCAGCCACCAAGACATTTGCAGAGGTCATAAACTGATCTGAGATCAAAAAGAATTTGTGAGAAACTAGTTTAAAATCATCAGTGAGATCCCCACCTCGATCTTAGCTTAGCTTAGTATTTTATTTGTAGAGTGAATCATTTAACTGTAATACCAGTTGAGAATGTTTTTCTAAGTTTTATATCCTATAAAGGAAGGCCTAAAAAACTGTATTGTATAAAATGAAACGCAGGCAACATGCAAAATTCATTTTTACTTCTATTACATAAAAATAATTTGAGTGCTTACCTAATAAATCACTAGATGGAAGGTGTCTTTCAACAAATATGTTAATACTTTCTGAAGGAAAAAAGATTTCCAGTCATTTTTAAACAAAAACTAAATAATC